TTCTATTAAAGTCTAATTAAAAACAAAAATCATTGTCTTGAAAAACATTTCCCACAGAAATGAAAATTATCCTTCAACTTTTATAGACAGTATTTCTCAAGTCTCTTTTTTTAATCTCCAATTAAACAAGTCAGTGTTAAGTACCTACTGTATGCTGTATGCTGGAGAGCTTTCAAACTTAAGGGAAGCATGTTAACTAGGCTGGATTTGAATTGGGGAAGTTATTCATAATTGAAATATCTTTATAATTACTCTGTATTTTATAAAAATGTTTATTCACTAAACATAAAGAAAATGAAATATTTCATAAAAGAGTCTTCAAAAGAGCAATATGAAGGACTTCAAAGATGACTGATCTGAGCCACTAAAACAGGGTCTCACTGAGTTGCTTAGCGCCTTGCTGTTGCTGAGGCTGGCTTTGAAGTCGMGATCTCCTGCCTCAGCCTCTGGAGCTGCTGGGATTACAGGCATGTGCCACTGTGCCCAGCTTGAGTGCCCAGCTTGAATTCTGATCTTTGCTGTGCCACCAAGGTGCCCCATCTGTGAAAAATGAGATCTTGGCCTGCTTAAAGTCAGCTCCATTTCCTAAAATACATAATAATCTGATACATATATTTGTTTATATACATATATGTTTTTCCATAATGTCTTGTCATTAAGGACTCTGACATGGAACTCTACCTATGTTTTGGAGTCAGAATCTATGTAGAAACAAGTGTGAAAGGAATAGACATGACACAATCAATTCCTTCTGGGAGCAAGGAGAAGATTTCCAATAGGATCACGGAAATATAGTAGTAATTCATTCCRACAATGTCCAACAAAGGGTTATAATCCATCTTGCTCTCTAATAATATTACTCTGAATATATTCATACAGTGGAAATTCTAGTTGGCATTAATTGTTCCGAATACCTGCTTTCCACTCATCTTCTAGTATTTAAACCAGCAGTGTGTTAGGAGATAAACCAAACATTCAATTAACTCTCTGACACATGTAATATGCTGTAATATGTCTGGGCTGTAATACAACTCATATACTATTAGACAAAGAACCTTTAAATAAATACATTCGTGAGAACTGTTTATAGATAATTCTTCTAATCTCCAACTACTCAAACAAGCAGGACCCAGTGCTTCCTGTCCCTTAGTTCAACAACCCCATCATTAAGCTTTTCTAATGCTTCTCACAGATGCACCATTCTTCCTTCCCACACTGGAACTCACTGAGCGCCTCACTTTCCATGGGATCAGGTGTCTCAAACTCCATGGTGCGCACAACAAAAGGAAATGTTTGTGGTCCATGGATTCTATCCACTTCAGCTAAAGAGTATCATCTGGTTGGGAGGCTAGGGCCCCTTGACTCAGCATTTTCCACTCTGGTTTGCCGTGTGGACAAGCTGGAGAGGTCACTGAGTGCAATGAAAGATCCTGCACTTAACTGACTCCTCATTCCAGCAACAAAGTGTCATCTGTAAAATTAACTTTATGTACCAAGTAGGAAAATACCAAAGCAAATGGGTTTAAAGAGATAAAAAAATGTTAAATGTTAAAGGTTATGTTAAAGGAAAATTGACACATATTAAAGGAGAGATGCCTACTTTTAATTTGCTTTTCACTTTACTTAACTAGGATTAGTTAGCAGCTGAGAAACAATTTAGTGCTAAAAACATCAGGCAGATAAATACACAGAATCACCACCACAGACAGACCAAGTGCAATAATCTTTATGCTCAAGACTTTATTGGTTTCGTTTAACCACAATTTCAACCTCTCAGTGAGTAAGCAAAGTAATAATATCCTATTGGATATTCCCAATTGATCTGTCCAGCAATTGACATGTTTACAAAACAAAATAAAATGGGTGTTACTGCTCCTACTACTGCAATGTTAGGTAAACTAAACCTTCCAATGAGAAAGCAGTAATCCACACACAAACAAAATTTACTGCTTTTGGATGGGCCAGGAAACTTGGAATACCCTACACCTGGGAAATAATTTCTCACAAAGTTCTGTAATTCAGCTTTATAGATATCATTGAGGAAATGAAATATTGTATATTGAAGATCAGAAGGAAAATGTTCCATTTCAGCTCCACAGTCTTAGACTTCCTAACTCTGTGACTGGGTGTGAAATCCCCTCATCATTTGTCTCATTTGTAAGCAGGTGTTAATACTAGTACTCAACTCACAGATTGCTTGTGAATAATTTTTTTAATTGTTTAAATTTGTTCTAATTAGTTATACATGAAGGTAGAATACATTTTGACATATTTTACATAAATGGAGCACAAGTTCTCATTCCTCTGGCTGCACATATGCAGTCACACCAGTAGTGTAATCATCCATGTATATAAAGTAATAAAGTCTCTCATTCTCAAAGATGTAATAGTTCAATGAAAGCAACTGCTATGTATCTCTTACTAAAATCAGCTTTTGTTAATTTTTTAAGGCTCTTTCAAGGACAGAGACACCACATTCTAATAATGTTCTTCCTTTTTCTGTACCTTCTCTCTCAGTTTCCGTTCCTGTCATGTTTTTTTCTTTCCCAACATCAAACTTAGAGAGTTCTCAAGTTATAAAGGCCCTAGGTCCCCTTCACTTCTCACTCTATTTTTTTCAGGGGTATCTAATCTACTATATCTTGATTTCAGTTAACATCTGGAGGACTAAATTCCCAAGTGCACACTTCTACTTTAGATCTGAGTACACACTTGCCCACTCAATGTCTCCACTTAGATGCCTGGGAGAAACCTCAAGTCAATTAATTATGAATAAATGATCATCTCACCATCACTGTCATCCACATAGAAATGATGTCTATCTCTGTGTGTAGTCCAGCAACTACTCCATTATGTAACCTGGAACCCGAGGAACATGGGGAAACCTCCCAGTCCACATTTTGCATTGTGTGAGCCATTTTCTACTGTCTCTATTCTACCCCTGAGACAACTTTCTCACATCTCCTGGTTTCCACAACCACAGTCACCTTATCCAGTAGCCTCTGGGATTTGCCCGTAGGCAGTTTTGGCTGCCCCAATCCACATATGTCATGGAGTGATATTTAAAAATATCAGTGTATTACTCTCCTGTTTACAACTGACCATTGCTTATTGGCATCATTAGCATAAAGAGTAAAACACTATGGACCAATTACAAAACTGTGCATATGACCTCTGCCTCAATGGACCTCTATACTCCAAACATATAGGACCATTCTTCCTCTGAAATGACTAGATCTTTCTCCATCATCAAGACCTTTATTCATTCCCATTCTGTTCTCTCTTCTGAAACATTCGAAAGCTTTTTCTTTCCCATCATTGTATACACCATTACTAGCTATTTCTTTCTCCTCATTTTGCTTAACCAAGACTTCCTGCGGATGGCATTTCCTGATTCTCTGAACAAAGTACATTAATTATATCCTTGCAGAGCATCCTGCACTTCTGTATCCCGATCCTCAGTGCATTTGTAATTACTTTAGTGTCTGTTTTTAACAAACAATGATAAGGGACCTAAGTGCAAGGATCATGTCTCTCTTGTTTACAGCTGCATCCCTTAATCTTATCAAACAGTATGCTTGCCACATGTAGACCAACTGTGAAACTGATAAATATTTGCAGAATTAACACTAAAATTATCTGGTTTATTCCTTGATCTGAAAATTTCTCACAACTGGTAGCAAAATGCACACACACACACACACACACAAAAAAAATTCTAATTCAAGGCAGACTATGATAACTTACTAGAGGAAATAAGTATAAGAGCTATTCAATCCCGTAAGAGAGGGGAAAATGAATTCTGGAAGGAAAATGGATATCTAAATGAGAAACGTCTATATAAAAAAAGGCTTCTTTCTAATTCTGGGATATGAAATAAGCCTTAGAGAGATTTCAAGACTTCAAAAAAGGCGAGGTTTTAAATATTCCAAGGAAAAGGAAAGGTTTTGGCAAAGGCAAGAATGGAATCAAGTGTATACAGAGACCAGAAAACAGACAACTGTGCCTGACAGTAGGATATACTAAAATGTAGCAAATGGTTAACTTGGAGAATGCTTTCACTAGGAGGACTGTCTGGGGTTGTGTGTCAGTGGTATAGCGCTCACCTAGTACGTGTGAGGCACTGAGTTCAATTCTCAGCACCACATACAAATAAATAAAATAAAGGCCCATTGACAACTAAAAAAAAATATTGGGGGGGGGGGACCACTGAAGGTTTTATCACCAGAACAAGAACATGATCAAAGATGGCAAACATTTGTTAGCAGATTACAATGGGGGTAGGGAGACCAGTTAGTACACTGCAGAAGAAGAAGGAAAAGTATAGAAATAATTATGAGTAGAACCAACAGCATTGCTGGAAAAGGAAAAGGGGCTTGCCATTGACTAAATTGAAACTCAAAACAGAGAAAGGATGGGTGATAATGAGTTATTTTAACATGCATACATAATGTTGAACAAGGGGGCAAAATGTGGTTCTAGGAAAGAGGATGCAAGTAAATTTCAGATTACTAAGCTCACGGGTAATTTGATTGGTTCATAAAAAATGTTAAGACAAAGGCTTTATGACATTTTAAAAGTTTTTCTCACAAAACATTTTTTAAATGAAAAATACCAAAGATAATAAAGTTCTTTTATAATGACTGACCGAATTTCCCATATCTCTTGTGTCTAATTTTTATTTTATTTAGATATTAGAAACAAAGCTGCTAGTAATTTTACCATAATCTCACCTTCTCTGCAAAAGAAGTCAATTTCCTACAATTATTGGAGAGAAAGGAACTCACTTGGCATGTAGACTTTTCTCCACTCAGTAGAAGAATAATATCATTTGTGTTTAAAAGAATTCCAGTCTTCGCAATAGACTCTATGTAAAAAAATCTAAAGTGAAGTATGGAATATTTTAAAAGAATATTCTAATTTCAAAAATGTTAGCATCTGAGATTATGTTATCTTGAATTATCAAAATATCTGAAGAATAATAGAAAAATAATACTTACTTTTGCTGCACCTATTTGTTCTTTTCGAAATTTCTCAAGTGGTGCAATTAGTACATCATTAGCATTTTGAATCTGAAATTAAAAATGTGCATATATTAAGTTCTGTATAACTTAATGCCAACAATATTGAAAAATGGCTCCTTTATTCAACTTATTGAATATACAGTTTTTGTTCTATTGTCTGCATCTCTAAAAATATTTTCCATGTTGTACAGTATTTCTCCACTTTATAATTAAGCTGTTTTCACATATTATTCCACTTGATCCTAACAAGAATGTGAGTAATGTGAAAATAAGCACTTATTGTGCTGAAATCATAGCTTGTATGTTTGCATTTCTGCTCCTAAGATTTAACTAAGAAATGGTACATTAGGTATTAAATTTACAAATACCTTTAATTACACTGGTTTAATGTAGCCAGTTTAAGCAATGATTTAAAAATGAACCACACAAATGCTCATCCATATTGCCATGAGCATGCTAGAATTCCACAGCTGCAAAATAAAATAAGGTTCATTTTCCCCCCTATTTAATTAGATTCCTCACACTTGGGATTTGCCTGAGCTCATAATATTTCCAACCTGAATAAAAGAGTATGTGATTTTACTTCACTGAAAAATATTTTAGTTTCATGTTTCAAATTGGAATTCACTTAAACTTTAAAACAGATAGAACCTTTGATACTGACTTATAAGAATACTGAAAGGAGGTATAGGAAATAAGGGCCAAAAACTAGACGCAAGGGCACAAAAATTTCTAAGGATAGCATTACTCTGAAAGAGAATATTAATTTTAAAAACAAAATAAATACCACCTTTAAGGAGCATTCAAGTAAGAATGAAGCCCAGTTAACAAAAATAATAATTTGTTCTACTACTGCGTACTGAGCAAATGCTAAGATGAAGAAAAAAGTCTATTTTTTAAAACATAAAATTGCCCTATTTTAAAATAAGTTAAAGAGTAAATTGGAGTTATTTGAATCATTCTGATAATTTCTATAACTGAAATCAATCACATTCTTATAACTTTTTTCTAAGCTTGAAATCATGTAACTTTTCTATAAGTTTGAAAGCATAAATAAAAAATGTCAAAATGTTTTCATTTGCATAGATTTTTATTTTTGCTCTGATTAATCATTAGGTTTTATTTCTTAAATGTCTTAAATCCACAACCTAAATGAAGAGATAATATATACAAAAATAGAAACTAGAATGTTGATGCCAGTTCTCATGAACGTAGAGTTCTCCAACTTACACAAAAATGAGACAACAAACCTTATAAAGAGGACCCAAAGTACTATGCTGTGAAAACAGAAAACAAATCAATACTCAAGTTCATTTCAAAGACATCCAGGGTCAATTGTAGATACCTCTGATACCCATCACCTAATTACTGCTTGTGAGCTCAGACAAGCATGCCATCAGATCCACTGGGTGTGTCCCACAAGGCAGATATGATCGGAAGTAGTAGTAAAGTAGCTCAGTTTTAATTCTCACTCTCTAAAAGCTCTTTGTGGTTGTAAACCCCAAGCATAAGGGCTCACAGAAACATACATTTTACAGATGTAAGGAACAGCTAATTCATCCTTTAAAGATAAGTTTGCATTAGGGGAAAGGCCGTATCATGAACACTTTAGTGTAATTTGGAGAATGCCAAAAATAAAGGCTACCCTTTATTGGATGTTTATTTGTTGCTTACTTCACAAACCACAGTACTTCACAAGCATGATCTAATATATTTCAAGTCAGTGGATTTAAACAGGATGATACTTTTCAAGTGGTGAATACCTCAACAATAATGAGACTGAACAAGTTTGGCACATAGAACAGTGCTTAAGTACATGTATTTAAAACTGAGCATACCTGGGTTTTACTGGGTTCTGTTGCTTATGGCCTGTTATTTAACCATTCAGAGAATCAGCTGCATCATCTACTTAACAATTTAATTCTAAGGACTTAAGAAATAATCAATATAAAACAATTAGCTCAATGGTTTATATACTGAGTGAACAAAAAGAACATCAAGTAATATTTCCAAATACACAGATTATGAATCTCATTCCATATTTACCTATTTAATACACCTTTATACCTGATCCATTGTGCTACCCTTTTGTTTGGACTATGTCTATGTGCATAATATCAGAAGGTGTTTTCCTATAAAAATCCTGAAAGACAAATGTCCTAGGTTCTCCCATCTCCAAGCATTTGCACACATGCACATGTGTGTGTGTGCAATTCTGAGCTCTGCGGGGCAGCGTGAAATTTAGGTATGGGCTAAAACTCCCAGAATATTAAAATCTACTTGAAAGGATAAAAAAAAATCAATGTATTCATTCAACAAGTTTTGGCAGCTTGAATACTCCTGAACAATTTTGGGAAAATTGAAAGACAAAAACTGATTAAATTCTGAATAAGTAGTTAGGTGATAGACTATGCAGAAATCTTTATAAACACATTAGGATTTTGACAACAAAAAGATAAATGAAAACTAAATGTGTCATGGGAATGTTTGGATGGTTGATGTTAACTGGATATACTGAAAGGAAAGAATATTCTAGAAACAAGGAACATGATGACTAAAGGTAAAGGGGCAGAACTAAGCATAGCATGCAGGAAGAAGGAATGCAACACAGAAAACGTATTAGCACTAGAGTCAACCATGACTGTGACTGCACTGACCAAGTTACAGGACTTCATATCAACTTTTCTAAAATAGAAATAGTAGAATGAACGTGAACTCTGCTGGACAGTGCCTGGCACACAGCAGTCTCCACAGAATTACTGTAGTTGTTCAAATTATCCAATAAAAACATTATTTAACTGTAAAAGAGTCTGGATAATATAAGCAGGAAGTTCCACTGAACTAAGTGAGGAAAAAAGACTGGTTAACACCAGAAGCAAAGAAGCCTGAATATGAAAATATGAAAACTGCTGGTTTCTAAATAGAAGAAGAGTATAAAAACTTTTTCTAAGAAGCTAAAAGTATGTGACATGATTTTGAGAATGAAGAGACACGTGGCTGGGAAAAGAACTTCATCCTGAAGAGGTAAAGGAGTAGATCAGGTGCCTGCAGTGTGGACAGATGCAGTTCCAGAGACAGTTCTAGGGAAGAATGGAAAGGAGCCAGCCAGTGACAGATTAACCCAAGGAGGGAGGAGAATCTGTAGGGGACACTATGGGTTGTGCTTCAGAAGCTAGACTGTGGCACCTAACAGAGTTGGGATGAGTTACGAAGCCATGTTTGGTAAGAAGGAAAAAATGACAATGAATTTTACTTTGAATCCATTACATCTGATATGCTTGGAAGACTCAAAGAAATACTGTCAGAAAATCCCATCTCACAAAGATAGAACTAATCAAAATGAAGGAATTTTTCTTAATTGGGGAAGAAAGGATTAGAAGAGAGAATAGATGGGAAGATACATTCATGTCCAATGGTTTACGTTTCTGCCAAAGGCCTTCTGGAGCTCTCATACAAACATCACCTAGGAATAAAGCAAAAGCCTGAGGAGACAGCAAAACAGGGTAATCAACAACCATCCTTCCGGGCAAGTATTATTTCCTATCTCTATTGCATTATATTTCATAGTTCATTTTTCCTTTGTTTCTAAATTTGTTCCAATTTCTCTCTTTTATCCCCCTTCTCACTCTGTTCATGTGAAGCTGAACAAAAACATAAGATGTGGCAAAGATATTAAACCAAAAAAATGAGAAAAAAAGGAGAGAAACATCCAAGAGAATAACAGAGATAACAACAGGACGGATTTGCTGTGTGCTTCAGATGTGCCACAGACTGCRCTAAGCTCTCCACAACACAGAGATTAAAGCCCACTTTACATGATGAGTAATGAAGTCAAACATGGAAAAATCCACTGGAAGAACATGAGCATTAAAGTTAATAAACTCAGCTTCATCTGAATCTCAGCACCCCAACTGATGATACTCAGAGTCTTCATTCCTAAACTCTTTAAGATTTTTACAAAAATTAAAGCAGAGACAGATATATTTTCAAAAACCATTAACAAAGATTCGGCAATAGCAGGCTCTCAATAAATGTTACCATCTCCAAAGAGTTAACTGATCTGTGTTCATTCTACACTCTTATAATTTCCCCCAAATAATTAAAAATGTAATTATTCAATGCTAGAAATGAAAATCCAAAGTAACTTAACAAAACTGTACTCCATTCAGAAGCCTAATTGTAGATAAGCATGAACCTAATTTTTTCCATAAGCGATTATTTGTGTGGTTTTATATCCGAAAAAGATGGTCCTTTTGTGTACACTGGGTGACTACTGTTCACAATATATAGATTTCAATTCAAAAGATCAAAATGTAAATGCCAACACCCAAAGGGCACAAAGTGGATTTGAATCAGATTTGGCTGCTTCTGACCCTTGACTTTGTAATTCCCCCAGGGAATGCGTGACTTTCGTCTGTATAGTAACTGGTCAATCATGTGGATGGAATTCTTCAATTCTAAATAGTCCAGTATGAAGAAAAGAAGGTATTAAAATTTTGGAAGGATTAAAAGTTACCACTCCTCCTTTATAATAAAGGAAAATTATTTCCATAATCGCAGGAAATATTTATTAAAAATGTGAATTAGGGTACAACTCTGGTGACAAAACCTTGTATTAATTTTTAAAAATCTAGATAAAGAAAATTTGGGCTCACATGAAATTTTCTCTTCAGATTTAGAAAAAAAAAGTTTGATGAAATTCCCTCTAAAAGAGTAATTATCTAGGGAAGGAAAAATCAAGTCACAGCATTCAGAAGATACTAGATATCAAATATTTGTGGATTGTGTGACTTTGAATTTACTAAAATTCTTTAGGAAAAATACAAAAATAATTTTAAAACTCTTACTAGATAACAATGATAATATAAATTATTGAAAACATTTTAGYAATTTAGAACACAATTTACTTTAATTCTTAGTTATTACCTAAACCTTTAAGCAATGTTCGTTTTATAGATATTGGTCCATATTTAAAGTTAAAAAATATTTACCAGTGAGTTCACTTATTTTCAGAAGAGAAGCAAATCTGATATGGGTAATGCTTCAGG